CATGAATACAATACGTTTGAGTATATATAGATTTGCTTTCAAACACTATTTGATTCGACTCCTAGGACACAATTTTTTCATAATTTGTATGGCATTTTACCTCATCGCAATTGACTACATTTGATATAGACGTTTGAGACGCCTTTTATTTACATGCAGAAAATGAAATTTGACACCTATTTTTTGTAAGACAATATGATGCCACCTGCATACGTCATGTTTAACGAACCGTGTCTAAGTCGCATGGGTTTTGTTGACAAATGAGTATTTTTTGTTACCTTTGAAGATGCATATCCCTTTTCATACAGGATGAATGGTGACTGATAAGTTGGGCTAAAATTTTGGCAGTATGTACCGTACATTTTTAAAACAAAAATGGAAGAAAATCATTCGTTCTTTTGATAGTTTGTTTTCATATCTAACAACTAGTTTTATTTTCAATTTCTTACTGTGTACAAAGTAAAAATATAATAATTTGCCGTTAACAATTTTGTTGTATTGTCCATATATATTTATTAGGGTTGGCTTGGGGCCACATCGTCTCCACAGAAGTTAGCAAAGAGCGATATAGTGATATGGTATTCCAAATAATTTGCATTCGATTTGAAAGCCTTATTGCGTTTGGCGAAATTGTAGGATAGCTTATTGCTTCGTAAACAATGTCTATTCATTTTGAATTTTTTTACCCCATGCGTAGCTTATAATATTTTTTGTTCTTCCTAGAAAAATTGCTGCCAAATTTTTCACGTTTGCTTTTATGATGTCATAAGTTGATCTCCTCTTTAGCACAATACACACACAATTTTATTCTCTGTAACGTAATATTTGCTCGTCCATTCTCCATTAAACACATGACGTTCAATAGCAATTTTTAGTTTTCTTTCAGGAGTGTGTAAGGGTATACTAATTTTTAAAATTCGTAAATTAACCTTAAAGAGTTGGTTTGCCACTGTTTTGTACACGTTTGTTTCAAAAGCTTTAATATCTAAGACACAGTCTTAGATTTCACAATTCAAATTTCTCAAAATCTGCGCACATATTTTGGAGATATAGCAAACTTTCAACATTTTATTTCGTATTAGTAGCGAAATGTAATAATATCAGTTCAAGTGGTCTTTCAAATTTTTATGAGGTTTTACGTTTAAGAATTAATGGAAAATCAGTGCGATAACATCGTAATTGAATACCGCGAGTAAAATTTAATGCGCTATATCGGATGTAGGTGTTACATTTATTAGTTGAAAAAATAGGTAAATTCAATCAGGATTGCAAAGTATATTAGACTGTAATTACATATGAGAAAGATTATTTATTTGAGTTTTTACTGAATTTGAGTCTGAGAAGTATAATTCATACTTGACGGATTGTAATTAAAGTTTGTGAGAATTCTTTATCTTACGCTTAAACTTTGCCAAGATTCGAACAGTGTAACGATAGCAGCCATACCGGTGGCAATAATGTAACGAACCTTGTTATAAGGTCTGATTTCATGTTCATATATGTAACCCCACAGTTCAGTAGATATACCTCAACAAACAATACACCGCAAGCGATCATTATGTTTACGGTCACTCTCGGTTTCAATTTCATAACCTATGGCGCCTTTGAACTTTCTCGAATCGCTTGTTCCCGTCACGTTGGAGCAATAACATTAACCACCTATCATGGGATTGCTTATTGCTGTCAATATAGTACAGTTTTATTTTCGATTTTCCGTTAGTACGTCACCATAGATATACGATGTCACAATTGAAAATCTAGACCAGATTTCAACATAAGCATGAAGTCTGATGTGAAGTAAGGATAAGAGGGAAAAATAAAAGATGTAGGAACGAGGAATCATTTAAAATTGTGTGAATATCTGTTTGTGACAAAACAACACTTCATTCCAACTTTTTATTCGACCCTGCTTTCAAATATGAGTGTTTTTTTAGATACAACTCGAACAAAGACCACCTTAGAGAGAATTAGCAAATCTGTGAGTCAGATATAGGAAATTACAATTCATTCACATGATTTATGGCAAAACAATCAAATACTAAAAACAAAAGAGCACGCGTGGGTGCCGATTATCAGTCGTCCGTTACATTTCAAGCATCTTTTAACTTTCGATAAATTTTTCTCCCACTTTGCGAATGATTCATCTCCAACTATGTGTTGTGATGTAATCTGACCAATTAGGTGATGACAGCTTTAAATGTGATACAAATATTGATGTATAAATCTGGGAACAGGCGCTTAAAGGGAATGAAAACACCTTCCTATTTGAAAACTTATTTACCTAAAATCCAAAGTTTGATTATGACGTCCCATTTTAGGTGGACCACACTTGGATGTTTAGAAAATTAACAAATATTCCCCAATTTTCTTACTAATTTCAATTAAATCGTTTTATATCAATGTGGTGCCGTATAAAGCAGATAATAAATTTTTAATGAATAGTTACTTAAAGGTTTGGTTTTATATAATAACAGCGAATCTTCACCCTTACGCAACAGGGGAATTCTCTGAGTCAACATGAGTGTCATGAAGGGGTCAAAATGACAGGGGATCATGCTTGTCTGAAAGGTACACATGCCCAATCTTTTAATTTAGTAGTTCATTTACGATAATACATGCGAAACTTTGTAAGCAAGTAATATTTATTAAAAAAATTTTCTGTACCTGTATAATGTGGTTCTTTCAGTGCCATCAAATCCTATATACTCGCATGTAATCGAGGTATTTTTACTCAGCAAATAATCACCGGAAAAGCAGCATTTTTATTATACATTATGATTCTATACGAAATATAAATTAGATTGACATTGGAAAAAATGTTTTTGTTGAACGATTTGCCAATATGTCAATAAAATACAAATAAAAAACAAACGTGGTTTACTTATTATGACTCTTAAATAACGAAATTAGGACAAAATTTTTCATTTACCAAACACTTTTATTCAGGATTTGGGCAATCAAAGCGTGTTTGTATAAAGCTTCAAGTTACCTCATGATGCATTCTTGCTTCTTTGAAGCTAAGTTGATGTTCGAAGCTGTTTTAAAACTACAAAAACAACACGAGCTATCTATAAAGCGGTAACTTGTAACGTATACTCCTCAGTAATCAGGTAATTCAATTATCGCCATTTTTTTAACATATGTATAAACACTTATTATAATTGACAAAGTGCGTTAGTAACGGTAGTACAAGTAGTATATATTTAAACAGTTATTAGAGCTGTAAGTTGGAGTTTTGTTTTTGAAACATCCTTAAAAACTTACTAATAAAAAAAATAGGTTGTATTTGTGTTTTTGTCATTTTTCTGGCATTTTATGCGCATAATAGTAACGAATTATCAGTGTACACTACGTCCAAAGTTAGTGATCTCTGAAGACTTGATGATGATTTCGATACTAAAGCAGAACGAGTTCGTTTTCTTGCTACTTCCGAGTGTTTGCTTCTGCGTATAGCTTTGATCAGAATAAAAGTCTGGAAATCTTGTAATAACGTATTCATAAAGTCCATTACAAATATTGCATTCATATTTCGGATTTATATATTCTTACATACGATTTTTTGAATACACATAAAGAATTCTTTAACAACTTAACCTTGAACTTCCTGTCTTAACTGTTTCCGAAATTTTTCCCATTTAAGACCACCTTGAAAAAATAAAACTTGAACCAACTCTTGACAATAGAAGCGGCGTTGTATTTCGACAAATTTAACCCATTCTGATTTTCCCACGGATTGATAAGACGCTCAAACAACCATTCACGATTCCTCCGCATTTGAAGTGTAACTATACCGCAAGCTATTGTTTACAAGTTAGATGGGGACCAGATTGATTTCTTTTGTTTTGCGAATGCCGGTCTACTTAGAGGCCAACTCAATTTTGTTTATTTTGAGGACCTGAACACGATATCACATCTGTACAATTTTGGTGCGATTTTATGTTGCAGCTATAAAATGTCTCTGCGGTAAATTGAAGCCAAACAAATCTTGATAGCTGAGACGTTAAAATTAGTTTGGATTCAGAAAAACTGTTCTGTTTGCTTCAACGATACTTTATTTTGATTACATGATTTTAATCTGAAACTATTGCCTTTGATCCCGGAAGTTAACCTCAATAGAAACAGATACCGGTGGGAAGGCATAAATTCCAAGGTTTAATCAACATTTTTAACAGAACTATTTCCCACGAATTTGTTTGGTTGCCAATTAAATATAGTATTTGACATCTGACTTATTTTATTTTTTTCAAATTTTTTTTTTGATAAAAATTCAAGAAATACTCTGAATTCCGCGAAAATTAAGAGTCCCGGATAAAAGTTTCCCCAAATTTCGATTTGCAACTGTGTACTGTAAATGCAAAATGAATTCATAATTGAAACAACAGCTAACGCACAAAATCAATATAAATTTAATTTAACATGTTTTGACATTATTGAAAGACTGATGAAACCAGAGCCTGCCTCAACAAACGCAGTAGTTTATTTTATCACCACATCGAAAATACACTTTTTACATACGAGATCAGGAAAAAAGATGAAAAGTTGCATTCCGCGGTGAAAGGAATCGCGATAAACCAGAAGTGGTTATCGAGCAGCGAGGGCCGCGGGCTCTGGTCTGGGTGGGTAGAGAGAGAAATGACCAGAAATTAAAATTTTATAATAGAAAATGAACTTGTCTTTCGTTTGATACCTTTTAACTGAATGCAAAACACGATTGAAGTAACTTGAGTCCTGCGTATATATATATATACAATAAACATGCTGACATATACATGATTATAATTTTAATGGTTAAATTAAAAAATACATCTAGCAATATCGTGGGCCCAATGCGGCGTATAGGGTTACAGTTTTCTGAATACTGGCTCCGGATAAAACCAAGTGTACCAGAAGCAAAGCAAACATTTTTTAATATGGTATTCTCTTTTATTATATCCACGTATAAAATGATAAAAAAAATATGAATGAAGTCATAATGCATGAATATGCTACAATAACAAAAAATGAAGAAAAACAAAACACGAATCTGCAATTAAAAATTTTAAACTCTAGGAATTATTCACGATTATCACTATTTCTGAAGGATTGTGAAACTATGAATTGCTAATAAATTGGGCCAATAACGGGCTTCCGCTACAGTCCAAGGGTCGACAAACTACATGTCAAAAAGAAAGCACTAACTCGCATGACAGAATATTCATTTTTCTACTGAGTACCAATAATAGATTCAACAGTGAAATTAGTCGGATGCAATTTTGTGCCGACTGGCGATGATGCTATCGGAGATTGAGCGTCGACGTTAGAAGAAAATAAAGAACTAGGCAACATTAAATTTTGATGTTGAAAATATAGAGGACTTTTCTGATCAAGGAGTCGACTATTTTGATATGCTGATATGAGAAATTGCATTCGTTGAATTTGTTTTAATTGAGTATCGAGAGCCAAGAAATTGGGAACTGGGGTAAATTCAAATGGACTAGAGAAAGGAACTTTCGGAATTGTTGAATTCATCGAATGAAACATATTATACAAAGGATTGGTAAAATTTCCGACTTCATTGTTAGTTTGGAGTGGTAGCTTGTCCCATGGATAACAAGGCCGCTTCTCTTGTGGTGAAACCCGGCATGTAGATTTTCTTTTACGTGAAAGCCATGGGTATTGTTTTGAGTCAGGTACGTCATCTTCAGAGGAAAAATCAGGCGTGGTGCGATGCGTATCAGCAATGACGTCACGTTGCCTTGGTGAAATATTCGGGTTTGTGAGGGAATGGTTCTCCTCGACGCCTAAAGGCACTCTACTCAAATGACCCAATCTCTCTGGTAGAACAACTTTGGGAGAAGTCACTCTGGAATTATTTGGTATAGATTGCCCACAATAACGAGTAAACACGTTTGCACTGGGTTTCGGCGCGTAAAATGTAGGTCGAAAATAATTTGCACTCTCTTGCATATGTTGTAGACTTTCATCAGCAAATGTTTTACGTTTTCGCATTCGTTCTGTTAACGGTGGAAAATGGTCTGGATTCAAAGCAAGTCCAGTCTCTAGAAGGTAAAAGTAAATAATTGGCAAACAGAAAATAGCTGATTTATATAATAATAGAATTTTGAAGTTGAAGTGAACACAAACGGAATTGTACAACGGAATTGAAAATCTTTAATTACCTAATCTACTCTGACCATAAATGCGATGCTATAGGGTAATTGTTCACTTTTGAAAACTCATCTTCCACTGATGTACAAAATAAAATCCTACCGTCAAGAAATCCCTTTGCGGACAATCGAGCATTTCTCAATGCTCTGCTACGTATTTTCAAAGATTCTGCTGCTGCTCTGTTCATTGCATCACGCGATTGTTTTCTCGTAATATCATTGGTGATGTCACAATCTGGATTCAACAAACTTCCGCCCTTTTTCAACTCAGCAGCTTGTTGTCGTCTGAGTGCAACCTGGATAAAAACATCAATAAGAAGGTCTTGCGACTGTCTGAAACCCAAACCAACAATTTTCAGAGTTTTATCTTGAGTAACATCGACATAAAATTATTTGACGGATGGCTTTATACATTGCAAAGCTACTTCATATAGCAATTTCGGTATAGATTGTCATTATTTTTTTCTGTCTTCCGCCATTTTGTAATATTTGTTTATAAACATTATGATACCAGTTTTTCTGGTACTGTAATATGAAAACCTTTCAACCTAATTACAACTTTCGAATAAAATATGGGATTCGGCGCATTTGATATGTGATTTTTCTCAGTCATGGAACACACAGATTTTTCTAGCTTCCAACAGAACACAGTCGGATATATTATATTTTACCTGAGCAGCCATTATTCTTTGTCTTTCCACAACCAACAGACAGTTTGAACACTGGCAATCTCTCCATCTACAATGCCTTTTGTGTCCCTTTAGGGCGCTCACGACTCCGTGGTTACGACACCGAGCACATTTTGGGGTCCTGAGCGGCTTTTGAGGTCCCGTGTTTGGCGACGAAAGATCATCTTGTTCTGGTGATGAATCGAGGGCTGTATTCGCGAATTCTTCGTTGTCATTTGCCATTTGTTCTGTATTCAAGTTTATTGAATAATGATAAATATTAGAACTGAAAATAAAATAATATATTGTATTATTCACACTTAAAAATACAGGGTGAAATTGGCGACTAGACTAGTATGATAATATACTACCAATGATAGTTGTTCTACTGAAAACAATATTACCCGCGTTGATATTTGATGGATAAATATACGAGTGATCTAATTTATCTCTATAAGTACGATTGGACTAAGAAATACACGCTTTGTCAATTTAACTTCGCTTACTACCTTACTACGTAAAATTAATTAAGGAAAAAAACTGAGAACAAAAATATAATTTTTTTAATCGTTTATTTTAAAAATAAATTCGACCTTAAGAGACATTTATTCTAAAATCTTACTTTTGTTCTTCGTTATCTACGGCTTCTAGTATTAAAATTGATATCCAGTTGTAGAGTTTGATCGAATATTAATTTCTATTTTTGAGATTGCTATTATTCAATCTTGTCGATTTAACCTCATATTAATGAAATTCATTAAATCATTTAACAACATTGTTCGACAGCATCGAAATCTCAACAACAAATAAAAAATATCTTAAAACCGAATATATGCCCAAAACAATAGCCAGCGTATTATCCAAGGTTTCAGCTTCAACTGCGTGGCTATAAATGTTCGAATCTGGAAAAACCCAGTGATGCGTCGATGTTTTTTCCGGATTTTGTGCTAAAACGAGAGATTAGAAAATGGATCTCATTTTCTAAATTTTACGCCATTTTATTTGAAAAATGCTATTTTAAAAACACGTGACACTATCCATAGACGAAAATGTGGCAGAAAAGGTTTTATTTAATTTTAGCAAAAACTCTTAAAGAGGGGGTTCGGGATGAATTTTTATTTATTCATATGCTTTTATTTTTAAATTTTTTATTAAATATTTTTACTTTAATCTTTTTCGGGGACTGTCTGTGTTAGCCAAGTGAATATACTTCTTGTCCATAAGCTTCCGTCCCCTTACACAACTTGATGTAAAGTAGGCGAAAAAAATTGTTTACCTCCATATTGGTACACATACTTATGGAGCGCCTGAATTATTATCAAAATACTGAAATGAACGACGTGTGCAATATTGACAAAAGAGCTCGGCGTCTAGCATTATTGTCTTTCATAAATTCTCCATGCCGATACCTACGTCTTTACACATTTTCAATTACTAATTTATTTTTTATATAAAACTCCTGAGCGAAATAAACTATCCTTGAATGTACAAGAGACTCCCTATCCCAAAACGTGGCGCTCTTGATATGTTTACAAATATCTGTTGATCACTATAAATATAACACTACGGTGAAAGAACTTTTTACATAATTATTCAGGGCGAGATATTTTTTTACATATCAATCCTCAAAAATATGAGCTTCTATAAATTCAAATGGACTCCCTTGAATTTCCTAGCTTTCGGTATTTTATTAGTGAATATATCGCACCATGTTATCCAAGCGTTATATATGTGATACCAAGGCCCCGTACTTGACTAAATTCTCATTATGTATAAATTTCAAATAAAAGTTTTTTTCGAGTGAATATTTACAACAATTGAAGAAAATGTATAACCAACCTAACGTTGCGTCACATTACTTTTACCCTAATGGCATAAAATGATCACTGGATAGGAAATTATTCATAGAATTACTGGTAATAGTCGCAAATTTCGTGGGTACTGAATATTTAAATTGCAGTGGAAATCGACCTGTGCTTTGATCAAAAGAAATGAGAGGTGGCGGCACTTTGAAATTTTTGTAATGTAAGATTTACAGGTATTAATTCAAAACCTAGGGTATTAATGGTTATATGTAAAAATGATTCTGAATATCAAATAGTGGTTGATCATCATCGATAAATAACTTTTTGTTAGTCTTTTTTTGCTGCCATACTATATATATGGAAATTTTAGGATTTTTTTTTATTAAATTGTGATTCAAGAAGAAACAACAGAATTGTTTCTTAATTTATTCACATTCAGCTCACCATGGGCCCAACAACAAGTCTCTACAGAAGCAAAATCATTTTTGAAACACTGTTTTTGTAAAATGCAATAAGATAGGATTTTCATTTGTTCTCGGGTAAAAGAAAGTCAATAAGGCGGATTGTCATATGACAGACCAAGATTCTTCCCGGTTACCAGTCTTCATTAATCATGAAGATATTATGGAGATACCTCATTTGTTGATGGCTTCTCGTACTTGAACCCGGATAATGTAGTGAAGATCTGACCTTCCAGTTATATGTACGCCACTCTGCGGAGGCGGGCAATGCGATGGCAATCGCGATTCCTAACGATTTTGACGCAATGCTTCAACCACCGAAGCACGATATTTCAAATCGTCTACTACGATGAATCTGCTATGTCACATTTAAACGACTTGCGGTCCGTCATTGTATACTGTCATTGTAACGATTATGTATTTACAAAAGATTTATTCACTAAAGCAAAAACGAAAAAATGTCATAAAAATAGTGGATATGCAAAAGTAAACGCTTCTCGGCCTAGAATGCACCAATAATGTTTATACGCAAAAGCCATTGTTTTATTTCATTGAAATATACAATCTTGCTATTATGCTTTATAAAGGCAGGATGTGATTTTTATGAAGTATTCATGTCATTGTTCCTAACAAAGCTAAAAAACAAGCATAGTTCTGTAACAATGCAACAGTTTGTTACTTATCGATTTTAATCGGTAAGTATGTTGATAGGTATTTGTCTGTCTGTCTGTCTGTCTGTCTGTCTGTTAGATGCTCGCAATATCTCACGAAAACGAGATTGAATCTGCTCCAGATTTTGCATGTGCATTCATCATATGTCGGACCAGAAGCCTATTGATTTTGGATGAATTATGTCGTATAATTAGCGAGTTATTAATTAATTAGTGATGAGACATAAGGTGTCACTATGAAGTAAGAGCGCTGTTTTAGGGGATTCCCTAACTTTCGATCGATAAGTCTTCGGTCTCTGACCGATATTCTCGTTTTGAATTTTATTACAAGACACCAGACCAGATGATAAGAGTTTTTTAAATTAGGAGTAAGGGATGAATATGACCTCAAACTTGTTATATAAAACGCAACAAAAATAATATAACCGACCTTATTGTTGAATAATTGAATTTATTCAAAAAGAACGGTGTTAGCCGTTGGTTGATAGTTCAATTTGAAATTCCACAAAAACAAACTATACCTGAGTTATAAATTGACGTTCCGGCATTCATTCGGAACACAAATAATTACAAATAAAAAATCTTCGAATCATCATCTTATCGATGAATATAAATTTCTAGTTTTCTGTAATGGTATTTACAATATGGCGTAATCGCGAAACGAAACCGTATTACACTGAAACTTTATATCTTTACCACCCAGCGCGATATAAAATGTAAAAAATACGCCAAGAATATTTAGAAAAACTTGGTTCGTTATTAAGTATAGTCCAGAGATAAGCAATGAACAGTAGGCATATCGAAGCACAAACTCTCTTCAGCATGACGCCTTTATTAGTTTATTTTTTGCGTTTCTTTTTTTCTGAACGCCTATCTCTTATGTTGCACCGTAGATATCTGATACAATGCATTAAATTTTATTAACGGTATTTGGTTCTGATGTTATCACAAGTATTTTCCATTAATTCGTATCATATGATAGGCTACACTGCTGCTTACTTGAAAACTATTAAAATAATTGAAAGTAGACAGACAGCTGCTGATAACATAAAAAATCATGTTAATTCCAGCACAAGGGAGCGTTCTTCATTCACAGGGGCTCACATGCGATGCAATACAGTCTCAGCCCAACCAGACTTAATCTAAAATGTGAAATCTTTATAGTTCTATTCTCTTCTGAAGCACATAGAATTTTGAATGAGCATATATATTTTAAATTTAATTGAGTCCTCAATAACTATTAGATCAAGACGCAGGGTAATATTTTTTCAAGATTGAGTCGTAAGTTTCCAAATTTGAAAAAAAATAATTGAAATACCAATTAAAAATGACTTCAAACGGTAAATATTATGGCCACTATATGGTGTAATAGTTTTCTTTGAAATATCTCAGTGTGGGACTGGTCTTAAGATAATTATGAGGCCGCATTTCATTTATATATATTCATTGTTTAGTAGACAAAATCATACAATTGTTGTTTAATAACTTTGCCAATTTCATTTACACATCCCTACTTCCAGCTAACAGTGGTATATGACAGCCACGATTCATGCGTTTTTGTCACAGAATAATAGTTCAACAAACATGATGAAGTCATTGCGGAAACTATTACCTTGAATTTTAGTGTGTATTGACGCCAACGAATCATTGTTGAAATCAATACGACATTTATACTCTCTATCACCACCTTGAGTATAAAGTTCGATTGTGCTAATAAAATATGGATATAATTTCGCAACGAACGTTAGGATAGCAAAGATGTTTTTTTCAGCGGCATTAAACTCGCGGTTTACAATTTTATTTCCCATTTTACAGGTATTTTGTACACTTTATACTCTTTTTAAAATCACATGTCTTAGAACAGGGGTTCTCAAACTTCCATCCAAAGATTCTCAGGAATTGTAGCCTCCATTTCTCCAACAAAAATACCTAGTTTTGTTTTAAAGCGTTACGATCAATTCTTTTATCATAATAACTTGTCGTGGCGTAAGATAATTCAATATTTGTCCCCTATGATGTTTCTAGAAGAAAAAATCACAAAGCACCAGCAGAACAATTTAGATAACTAACTGTCAATTAAATTCTATTACGCTTACATATTCATATGGACTTGTAGTAATTATATATATACAGGGTTTTAAAAAATATTTTTCAAGATTCGGTTTTTGTGATCTAAAAAATTCTGATCCAAAATCCAAAAAGAAAACGAAATGCAAAAGAAAGGTTCAGTATCACAAATACATGTGGGTGGTTCTCATTGACATTGAGTGAATGAATGAAATCAACTCAAAAGTGATGATTATTTGTTTTTATTTAAATTAAATGTCGACTTTACTTGTCACTAAACACACGCTTGGGTCGTGCAAAAATAACAGATTTCATAATATTTCAAAGAAATGGGGGAGATTCATCATGACGTCATTATATATTTTACGAATTTCCATATAACGCATAGTTGTTCGAATTATAAAGTCACAAATATTCAATTTTAAAATGCCCAATACCCCCTCCTCCACTCAGCGATATCCTGTGTACGCTACAGACTAAGCGAGGGGCAAGATTCGCCCATCCTGCTGGAGAGATAAGGTTGAGTGATGTAATATCAGAAAATTGATCTCGTCTTGTATATACTTGTTTTCGACTGTGTATGAAAAACAATACAAATGTTGCAGGCGCTTGGCATTTTCTTTTACTGAATTGAAGTACATTTCAACAGACTTTAACTATATTTAAAAGTTTAGTACTCATACATTTACATGAATGTGGCAAGTTCTGAATTTATAATATAGTAAATTTTATATGTACCATACTGTCGCTCTTTACTAACCTTGCGAAAATCAGGCGGATGAACGATAAGTCATTAACCACAAAATCAAAATATATGAGGATTGGTGGCTTAGTGTATATTGTATAGGCTTAGTTCAAGCATATCATCACGATAGATATAAATAAATCACGAAATTGTCTGGGCCCAAAATCCCACAATTTTAGGAGGAAATCCCAAATAAAAGCATACTTTCATATCTTTAACGCAATTTCATGATCACAATAACGAACTTAATTTAGAATTTGATGTTGAATTTGGCGATGTAAAATAGGCGTGGCTTATTTTGACAAAAATATTGATGTCAATGTTGATAAGGTTTTCCATATAAATAGAATAACAAGCGTTGTTTATCATAACATTAACAACAGTGAAAAATAAAAAAAAGTTTCTAAACATTTCTTAGTCATTATTACTTCTGGCACAGACTTATTATTCACAATACTGCTGATTTTACCAAGCATCATAATTTTTCTATACATTGGCTATATTTTTTTCTCAATTGGGTAACTTATATCATTTAATATTGTACTAACAGCAAAAACAAGACATTTTTTTTTATATATTTTAGTCAAGTATACAAATGTTGTCGATATTTCATATTAAAGTCGCAGGATAACATCTGTTTATTATAATTTATCGATCGATAATCGGGCAGCGCCCAAGGTCTCGAAAAGGTAACAAATAGACTTTATGAATTGTTGAGTTGATCATTTCTTATTTTGTTCTGGCATTTTTGTCCTACTAAGTTTAGATAGGTATCACTACTATTAGGCGTTTTATATAAAAGAAATATTGTATTCTAGTTTATGACTAGAGATTAGTCGGTATTAATGGCCATATTCGCAGTGTTATTCGAATACTAAAATGTCCTGTCGCTGTCCTGATTATCTTGTCAATGGCGTTAGGAAAGGCGTTCCTCGTTAGCAATGCCAAATTCTGGTCATTTTCCTATCCATTATTTTCCGGTGATTTTTTAATAATTTTTCAATAGGACGGGTTAACTTACGCGTTGATCCTTCCGAGCGATAGTAACTCGGATATATAAGACACAATCTACTGGGCCTTTCTTGTGATATTGGCTTTTTTATTGTTGTATTACATACCATCATTAGGAATTAGTTGTACATCACAAAATATTCCATGTGAATAGAAATAAAATATAGAGTAAGAGGAAATGTAATTCCACACACTACTGATCAACAAATACTCTTGATATATTTGCATTTTATATCTTATTTGCATTGTTGCAAAATATATTTGTTGGAATGACCGAAACCCAGCAATTTAAAGTTTTATGAACGAATATTTGATGAATCGAATGGCCATGAAGCTCAAATATAAGTATATATTTAAAATTAAAAAATGAACTTTAAAATTGTCTCGCGTCTTCGAAGGATAATGTTCTATATGCGCTTGTATATTTCTCTGATACATTTTTTCTAATGCGTAGCACAGTTTTATCTGATAGAGACTGTACTTCGCGATTCAGTTGATTATTTGATCTTTAGCTGCAAGGAAGGATTTTTATTATTACATTAAATCAAGAATGTGCTGGTATATATGTATTGTTCTAAACCTTATAGCTTTTATTGGACTGGGACAGGCACGATTTTTACCTGATTTTTTCTATTGGCCAGGTGAGTTGTTTATTACACATCATTTCGATACATTTGTAACTAAAATACGAAAATGCTAAGTTTGTGAATTGTCTATTCGCAAGCACGATTTTCAACCTTGCTCCATACGTATACAAGTTTGAGTCGGAAATCTAAGTTAATACAGCGATAACAATTTTTTTTTATGGAAAAAGAAATAAAGTTACAGAACGGTAATAATTCTGAAAACTGTTGATTTCCCAAACAATTATGTCAGTCTGATTTCAATTTGTTTTCTTTATATATTTTGTTTAAAAATGGGAACATATGATATGATTTTATGTCTGCAATCACAAATTGCATTAGTTGGTTGTATAATATTGGAATATCACTAAATAGGTTACCATCATTGCCTTTCTTGTTAATTATGCAAAACATGCGACAAAGTGTGATCCTAAATTTTTAGCTATAGCTATTTTTAGCTATGGCTAGCTTTTGTCTATAGACAAAAAGCATGCTGATATATTAACAACTGTGATTGTAATACAACCTTTGACAAGCTAATTCGGTGTTTTTGTTTAAAGGAGTTTGTCCACCGCATGCACCTAGAACGAATTGTTATCCAAACCCATGCCTTGTGCACAGATGTCCATTACGACCTGATGCAATATGCGAACCAAATTATTGTGGAGGGTGTAGACCGGACTTCTTTGACGAATCGGGAAGAAAAATTCCATTAGAAAAATGCTTCGATTTTTGTAAGTGTATTTTAGAATACGTTGTAAGTTTATTAATTGAAAGTGTAACAAATCCATGATTATCATTATAAATTTTCTATTAATTCTGTATTTTATGAGGAATGTTTAATAACTCTTTAATAACTGTTTTGATAGCATGCAAGCATCAAATTCCATCCGCAATCTGTCCAGAGTTGATAAAAAAAGATTTCAGATGTGAACAACACCCAGATGCTATTTTCATTGAACCAATGGAATGTAGTTCCTGTGGCATATTTTTCAAATTCGGCAGACGTTTGCTCACTCATGAATGTCGAAAAAGAGATGTTGATGGCTGTGGGTAACTACATTATCAAATCATGATGTTTCGATATACTCATACCTAAATATTATCGCATAAATCTCATAAACAAGCCATCGGATTAATCAATTGATACCATCAAAATATTTAACAAGATAGTTATTTAAAATACCACTAGATCACTTAGGGTCATTTTTAGCAACAGTTAATGTAATCGTTGTGTCAAGGACAGGTGTTTGCTCAAGGCTAATTGTTGTAACAAGTATGTCACAACATGCCAATCAATTTGATCAAAAACAAGCGATGGTGGGAGATGCATAAATGTCGGAACTAGGAAATTTGAAATATAAATATGCCACGTACTCAAAAAGTTATAATCTCAAGTTAGTAGTTTTCACACGAATGACGAATGTGCGCAGTAAGTAATTCATATGAGCCACAAAAAAAACTAGGCCACTATTTATATGTGCAAAGAGTGTCTATTCTAGAACGTTTTTAAATATAGGCATGTTATGGAGTGGTAAATATTTCAGTTCCGTGTTAGAATTTCAACATGAGTAAACCGCCGTTATAATTGTCGATATTCAGACCGCAACAAATTCAAAAGAAAACCAATTCTAATGTCCGCCCGAATGAGTATGATTGTCACTTATTGGTTGTTGATCCGTTAGATGAGCGATTTCCAGTTTAGTATAATTTTCCCAGTACTGGCAACTGGTAATATTTTTAATAGGAATATGGCAATTGAACTTTTTCTATGCTGAGATACGCTTTCATACCAACCCTCCAGCGTTTATTTAATAAGATGAAATCTAGTTCATCTAAAAAACTTTATTTTTATTTTTATTTTGATTTAAAGATGATTATCTGTTTCAACAGCGAAATGCCAAGGATCTAAAAAGCCTTGCGCTGAAGACCCATGCAAAAAAGCTACATGCAATACTACAAGTGATACATTGATTTGTGTGCCAGATTATTGCGAATGTACTCATAAATTTGTAAATGAGTTTGATCAACCAATAGCATGCGGAAACCCGATTTATAAACCCGAAGGTAAGATTATAAATATAAGACTGATGAATGAATGGTACACTTCGTTAAAAAATAAACGAGATACTTGGATAAATTTCTTATATTATGAGACGCTTGCGGGCGTAGACTGCTGATGAGTATATTATCCTATTTACATTTTAGCCCAGCCCGAGATAATTTAGCTCCTTTTCATGCTATTGTTGCGTACGGTTTTTACCTTGCGAAACAATCTTGGCAACTTGGAATCCTTAGTTTTGAAGCTGTCGCTAAAATTAGCGATTCCGATGTCTCGTCGAACTACCGGGTATCACAGTAAAGTATCACAAATGATAGAATAATGTACAAAATTCCTGGCCAACGGCCTGGTGCGATTCCACGCAAGGAAGGCGATATAACGATATCATTTCTCTCATGTTTAGAGTTGTTCCTTATACTTCATTTGAGTGATTATAAAGGAATATTTTCGAAAAGTACTAAGTTTTATTGGTTGTTCAAAAGTTGAAAAAATGAATCTGTATATTTTATTTGTTTCCTCTATTACATTTTGAAGGCTTTGAGTGGCAGTGTCTCCCAAAATTCTCAATTTTTCTAACAGTCTCGGATAGATCAAAATAAAAGATATGCTGTGAGATTGGACGGCTTTTTTCGTCTATTTCAAGTTTCCCGTTATGGTTTTGGTGAGATTTTTGATTAGATACGCCAAACGGATTGTTACAAAAATAGCTCCCTCATGTTTCTATAAAAATTTGCTGATAAATCGAATTGTCCTGTCACGCTCCTATTTTTGCCCGCGCCCGCATAAAACAGTTACATAAACTCGCCAAAATGACAGCAAAAATATGAATATTTATCATACATCAGATGGTTTTACAGGAAATATATGCGTTGTGATCTTGTTAAGGTGATGTTTGACTCCGTTATATTTTTTACTTACTTCAAAATTTGAATATTACGTACACCACAGCTGACAATTGCGCAAACTAACGACGTGTACCGCCACGTTTGCACTGGTTTTAATTATAATTTAAATGTCCCTTAACAATTTATTATGTGGTTGAATTTAATATTTCCAACGAAATCTTATCCAGCTGCCAGCTAGGCTGTCACCAACGTGATGGCTATTGGGCCTTGAAACTTTTTCCATTTTACTATTTGGGCCTCACTTAATCAAAAAAAAACTTTACCGATCACTGGTCTAACATGTGTTCGGCAAATATTGTCTTACTACAAGCTACTGTGTATATTAGTAAACAGATCTTCATTTATTCAGAAGTGAAATGCCCACATGGATCAATGCATAGCAGATCATCCAGATGCAAAATACCCGATACTTGTTCAATAATATGCAAATCTGACCCTGAAGCAATTTGCATCCATGAATGTGGGAGTTGTAAACCGAGCTACTTGGACCGAAGAGGGAATAGAATCAACACAGAAAACTGCTTGTGACGTACACAATACAGATTTTCTCATTCAACGCAATAAGCCACAACGGCAATAACTGGATGTAAATAAACTGTAATCTTGCCCAATTTTAATACACGAGACTTTTTTTTGATTGAATGGAATTTAAAACGGTGGGTGTATTACGATAACAAAGAAGTCGTAGAAAGATAGCAACTAAGAGCCCGATTTACCTGATCGATACTAGTTTGATGAGGGAGATATTCATTAAATAATAAGATAAAATTTGTTAAGAGATGGGCCGTCTCACCTTATTCAATGAGTCATTTTACAGTTTTATGGACCCTGTCAATTCGTTTTTAGGGCGTTAAGATTTAGGTTTCGTATGGCCACAGGGTACAGTTTAAGTACAAAGGACTATGCAAAGTCACCAGCACCACACAAAACAAAATATATATATACAACTTTAGTTGGGATAGTACTATAGTACTTTAGTAATAGCCTTCTGGAGAAAAATTTTATCTTTAACTACTGAAAATTTCAAAGCAATTGGTCCAGTATTCGAAGAGAAAAGCGACTTTTTAAAAACGTGTCAAAGAACAACAACAACATAATATTGAAACGATCGTTATGTCCACTACGTGTCCAACAAGAGAGCTATGCTCAAATATATGGACACGTAGCGCCACCCAATGGCAATAATTTTGATGACGTCATAGCGAAAAAAAAAAGTAATAGCCTTCTGGAGAAAAATTTTATCTTTAACCACTGAAAATTTCAAAGCAATTGGTCCAGTATTCGAAGAGAAAAGCGACTTTTTAAAAACGTGTCAAAGAACAAGAACAACAACAACATAATATTGAAACAATCGTTATGTCCACTACGTGTCCAAAAACAACAAAATTTTGAAACGATCGTTATGGCCACTAAACGTGTCCAATAACGTAATTTTCATAGAAATCAAGTGGTAGTGCAGTGAAGTATGAAATTCACTTCCGCAACTGCGTATTATATATATTGGAATAGGTGGAAAGACCGGGGTCACACCTTTTCATAAGCGGGTTTAATTGACATGTATAAGAACAAGCTCGTGTTCTGATCTGTAATTCAGTTATCACTGAGTAATATATTATGAATGATAATCAGAATAATTAATCGATATATTTATGGCTGTATGGTTGCAAACATTGGCTCATTTTTATTGTTTTACTACCAGCCAGTTTTTAGTCGTTATTTTTGTATAAATTACCCCTAAAACGATCATCGATTTTCTTATTTATATTCGTAACAGTGACCAAAGTGAACAATGGCGTGACAATCACAATTTGTGCAGACGCTCAGACATACATTCAAGCTTAATTGCGCTGCAGATGATGGCTGTAAACGTTGCCTCCTTTTCGTGGTGTTGCGTGTTATTTGTAAATTTTCAAAATGTTCCCAATAAATAGTTGTGAATCAAATACCTTAATTGTCGTTATGTTTTCCGAGGAGCTTTAGTTTATTCGGATTGTCAGAAATGAGTCTCGCAAACGCTGCGATAAACTAGGCTAAAATTATATATCGTAACTGAAAGCAGCACATATAGGCCGCGAGACGAGAACCTTTATCTTTCAGTTTCGTAGCGCACATAAGGGAACTACCTGAAAATAATTTTGAAATGCTCCTTAGAAATTTAGTAACAAATAATACTTTGTCCCCTTTTTTACGTTTTACGAAAAAGACGCATTTACTACAAGGAACATGTGTTATTGTCTGTCCTATATGCTCTGCTCTTCCGATAACTGTGGCTAATGAACGCAGACTTCTGCATGACGTAACAATTCAAACTTAATCAGCTGTAGGCGTTCGGATGAATCCCAGATGTATTTGCTCGCTTTTGCGTTGAGTTGAGTAGCCTTTCCATCGTCTTTTTTAGTTATTAGATAAGATAGATATTCTAACACGGTGTTAAAAGGAAGGCTAGGCCTAGATTCCCTAGAAAGATATGTCACAAACAACTATATTTTCATGCTTGTATGGAAGGTTTATGATTAATTCAATGACGATTCTTGAGTATACAGAAGACTTATACTACTATATAGGCTACAACATATTTGATTCAGAAAATAATGATCGTTTGTGTAATGCACGTTTGTGAGAAAGAGGGGAAGGTAACCAATTTGACTGATGTTAGTTGGTCTAAACCAGCGGTCGGCAACCTTTCGAACGCAGAGTGCCAATTTATGAATAATAAGCAACTTCGCGTGCTAAACTTTTTCATGTGTTTGGTTTGCATAGTCAACTACCTGATTTTATTTGTGAGCGGCTGAAAGACAAATTTATTTTATTAATTTCATTGGATAACGTCTAATATAGTCAAAAGATGCTCTTAATGAGATCCTAACCACGGAATCGAAATTTGTCGTCCAGTTTTTTTTTTGAAAGATCTGATACCTAATTTAAGTCTTCTAAGAGAGGCCATCAGACTGATTTCATAAGCCTAATTTTTGTTTTAGCCGAAAGGTTAAAACAACAATTAGGCTACCAAACAGCAATAGACAGGCCAAATCAGCCCCTGTAGTAACTACAACGCTAACGGTAATTCGACGTGTATGAAAATTAGCCTACGAGAGATTCCGGCATACGGCATCTCTCCTTCGCAGGGGTCGGTAACCTACGGGTCGCGGAGTAAAATAATCCGGCCTGCGACGTTTCACTGAATTATAGTAACAAAACAGCTGTTTTGGCGATTATACTCTTCAGTCTTCACGTAACAGAATTTATTCTGAGACACGTGTAGACTAAATTATATAATAACCTAACAAGTATATAACTCACAATTACTGTACTCGTTAAATCGTAAATAAATGATCCTATAATTTTACAAATGGCTACAAACCGCAGAATAGCTGATGCTAAGTGCATAGGGTTCAATGGCGCAGAAAATATTCAAATGCAATTTTTCGAGATGCAATGCAATGAAAAAATAAATCTATATTCTATTCGAGAGATGTATCACCTCTATTGCTTTTTATAAAAAGTATCTTCTTGCAGGAAAACTCGATCCAAACTTGACAAACCATGCGAAACATTCACATCGATGTTTGGAAGTACATATGCATGCGAACAATTATTTTCGAAAATGAATATTACAAAGAACAGCTGGAAACTCGGATTAGAAAATGTTTTATCTGGGCTTCATCCAGTGTCCCATTTAGAAAATGGTTCGCATTTAGTGATGTCGAAAACGTATCAAGCTTTATGCTTTACAAAAAGTGTCACATTAAATGTTCCACTAGTGTTCCGCAAAGTTGCAGCAAGTAGGCTACTTCTATCTCCAATAGACGTAACATTAGAGGCACACACTACGTAATGGAAAGTGAAGGACATAGAAGAGTAAAATCGATTTGTTGATTCAGATACACATCATTCAAATTAAGAAACAATAAAACATTTTTAATAAATGCAATTTGTAAAATATTCAATCATATTTTAGGTATGTTTAACACAATTCTGTTAGTTTTCGTGGTGCATTTGACAACTCGCCATGACGAACAGCTACATTACACCGTTTTCCTTTATCAATTTTACCCTTTCATTTTTTGGTGTTCCGCACGGCGAGATAAAAAGTGTAAGTGTTCCGTGGCCGAAAAAGTTTGGGAAACGCTGCTCTAGTACATGAGATAAAATGCATGAGAAGTAGTAGCCAGTATTTAGTGGTATTTTATTTGTCGACAAACACTTATGTTGTGGATCGAAGAAGAAGTTGATCGAAGAAGAAATGCTTAACTGTAGGCTATATGAGAATCATAACAGTTGCAAACAGTTTAAATAGGCTGCTCACAGTGGCGTAGCATCCACCCCCGCAACCCCCGCGGTCGCCGGAGGGCCCACAGCGCAGAGGGGCCCAAGCGGTTAGAATTTAGAAATTTAAGCCGCAAATCAAAAGCTGCAGCGTACTGCACAACTTATAATGTTGATGTTAGTTCTGCTCAAATCGTTTTGTTACGTAACAATGCCAGGAAGTCGTCGATTTTCGGCGTCTTGGGTTTGAACGCACCGGCAAAATTACGAAGGCTGTCAGAATGATGTCGAAAGCAAAACCTCTCAGTGGCGCACAGTAACGCAGAAAAGGAAGAACGTATGGAAAAAATTAAAGTAACCAAAATAAACGGCAAATTTTAGGTTACCATTGCCTTTTTATAGCGACATGTTATGCTTTTTGACAAAATAAAAAAAAAACGTTGTCTTAGCTTCTGTTCGAGAGTTTTTAGAGTCATTTCCACGAAATATTTTTGCGGGGGGACCACGAGAGTCTTGCTACGCCACTGGCTGCTCATATCGAAATACATAACATTCTTTTACACTTGATTAGATCAATGACATTAAACAGTTTGTTTAATGTCATTGATGAGATTATGAGAATGCGGGTTTCGGAAGCGATTCAGAGGAAAGTGAATTTGATACTTATTAGTTTTTTCTCGGATATCTGTTAGTGTCGAAAGTACTGTTTCTATAAATAATATTGCCTTTGTTCCAAATACACAACCACATAATATAAAAAAATACCAATCGTAATAATTCTGTGTATTATGTTATGTAGGCTACATACTGTATCCAGTTGATTTTCTTGACTTTTCCGTGTGAATTTCTCAGTGAGAAATAACCGATTTGTTTGTGTTTTTTGCACACGATGTTATTTGTGTCTTCATTGCATAAAAATTGACGCTTTTGATGGCATATATAAAAAAACAACTTCTTATGCTGTGTTGTTGTAAACCTATGGTAATTGATTTCTGGGGAATCACCTTATATCCAATTTTTGCATCAGAATTTTAACCGATTTACTTGTGTTTTTGCGCTCATGATGTTAATTTGCGACTTTATCGCATAAAAATTGATGGGTTCCATGAAATAAATGCAACTTTTCATGCTGTATCGTTGTAAACCTGGGATTATTGATTTTCGGGGAATCCCCTTATACCCACTTAAGTTTTATAGAAAATGTGCAACTTTCGTTAGTAGGAACAAGCTGTAATGCGTTAAGTATGTTCATTTTCATACAAAACTGAAGAATTTATTAATATATAGTTACCAGATGTGCGATAAGAAACTCATTATCTAGGGCGTTTTTCAGAGCCTCGTCTCACGGCCTGATAGATGAATATTTTTATTTGAAGTGTTGGTTTTGAACATGCCAACCTGTTTGTAAGCGCCAACTCTTCAAAACAGTTTAAAAATGAGTTTTAAAGTAAAGTAGAGAGAGAAATGTTTTGGGGTCAAGGGTCGGGAGAACGTCCACAGCAAGAATATTTTTGGGGTCAAGGGTCGGGGAAACGTCCATTGCTTGCACTCGTTTATTACCAGGATGCTGTTTGCTACCGTACCGTAAAAGCGCCTAACTTCGGACAAAATTACTATATTTTCGTCAATAACTCGGCCATTTATTGTCCAAACGGTGCCAAAATTGCTCGGTAAAACATTCGTGCGGTAATTTACATTCCCTGCAAATTTCGGTTCAATTGGACTATTTTTACTATTGAAATAATCGATATTTCTTGCCATCTGACCGTTATCCTTCACTGCCCTAACTTCGGACAGTCATTTTCTTCACTGCGTAACCACGACGCACAGAGAGAAAGAGGCTTCCGATGCGGATGACGTTATCACGTCGTTGCGTGAAGATAAGACGCTCGATCGTCGTCGTAACGTAACATTGACGTCACGACGAAAATGCATTATTTGAAACTTCCGTCGTCCTATGTTTACATCTTTCGTTCGTTATTTTCGATACTTCAGATGAGTATAATAACACGTTAGTCATTTTAATCAGGAAATGCATACGTAAATATATCTGATGCAAACCGTTTCAATCCACAATGAAGTATTTTAACGGGCTTCTATCGAAGTCTTTGAAGTATTAATATTCTCGGCGGATAGCTTTTTTTTATTCTGCGCGGTTATCTTTATAAATGATAATTTATATCAAACACACGGTAAATCCGATTGTAAAGTTTAATTTAAAATTCAACTTAATCTTGTAAACATGTAGGTCCCGTTTATTTGTTGGAGATTAAATTTATTTTTAATTTCGAGTGAATAAAATCCACCCAGGCCGTATTCAATAACTGTCATTTCGACTACTAATCATAAAATAATGGTTAAGTCAGTGCACTGTGCCATATGGACAGCGGAATTATCATAGTTTTATATATTCGATTTTTAACGTCATCGATTAAGTGTGACATGTATTTTCATTAATGTAATTTTGGCATATATTCATACATGACCGAACAAAATACAAAAATATTACATTGGAACGCCGTCTTCATCTTAACGGAAATTGTCATATTGGCTCCGTTGTGTCTGGCGTCAAAATTCATTTCCGCGACGCAGTGTGACGTCGTGTCGGAAGTGAGCGAAAAATAATCTACGTGAGGTTGACGTATTTTTGACGCTGCGTGAAATCTTAATATTCTTACGGAATTTATAATTCAGAATTTTAGGTTTTATTTAAATCTCGTACGACATCTTGCGATCACTCAAATAAATTATATACATTGTTGTCGCCCTCTACCGAATGATGGTATTTTGACGATGATAGCTTCAGTAGGAGCGACGCTCTGCGCCGTTGAATGCCGGGCAGTCAATTTTCGGCAAAATTTCCGTTTTTTTACCAAAAAAATAATTATGCAACATTAAGAAAGATGAGAATAGATGTAGATATAACAGCGCAACCTATAATAATTAAAATTATCAATATACGGCGCGTTTTAGCCAAGATATGGCCGTTCAAAAATTTTGTCCGAAGTTAGGAACTGTCCGAAGTTAGGCGCTTTTACGGGTACCTTACATTTAATTTGACAGTCTCTTACAGCCACTGACGGTATCCAGGCTTGGGTATTTTCAATTGAAAGATTGCGACCTAACTCATGTACTTTGTGTTGTCTTCGTATCGTACCGATACCGGTAATTTGGCCGGTACCGTACCGGTCTTTGTGTAAGAATTTGAACACACATAAAACGTAAAATTATAGTCTATCCGAATCAGACTAGGCTATAAGGTACCGGTATCCTAAGAAAGATAGGATTAGCTGCATCTTGTCCCTGTATACCGGTACTGGTCTACAGTTATTATAGATAATGTTAGACAATTAGACTAGATGTTTAAAATGAACAAGCTCTGCCAGTCTGAAGATTCAGATATTTAATTTTTGAAAATGCTGTGTCTGTGTGTGGTCGTCCTCAAAAAACTTTATCATAGGCCCATAAAAATTCAAAGTTTTTTTGCTCATTTGATCGACTTGGTAAACTCTGAAAACTTAAGACACTTAAATTTTCTGTGTCATCCAGATATCCCTAGCCTCTAACTTTCTACACTTAAGCCTGTAAGCACTTACAGACTTAGGCCTACAGTTAATTTAGATTTTGCTGTAGTGTGTTCGATGATCTTCGAACTTTTTTCTGTCTTTCTACGACTTAACTGGAATGTTCATCAATGTTTAAGCATTTCATGTGATTTCACATACAGACATACCAGCTTACAGACATACTATCAGTTATTTGTGCTAATTTATCAAATTGTGTTTACTACCGTATTTGACTATTCCAAATGCAGAAATGTTCCAAGTTGTTAATGTTTCTCAGTTTTATATTCTGTATCCTATGATGAAGTAATATCATAGTAATTATATTTAGCATTTGTTTTTTATACAGTCTTGTCTTTATATTTATATGCACATATACATAATTGTATAGAATACTATAAACTATGCAATGAGTTTTGATAAAACTGCAATCGAAGAAGCCAATAAGCATCTACTTGCTTTAAGTCGAAGAGTCGTAGAACTTGAGGCACTTGCTGAGAGTCAAGCTGAGCAGTTGGAAAAAATAAATGCTGAAAACCAGGTGAGTCTGACAATTGATTGATTATTCTCATTCCTCTTATTATCTTAATATTGCATTGAGTTAGGTTTTTATCTTTTTTGGTTTTCAATTTATGATTTCCATATTAAAATACATTACATGAAGATCATTTCTTAAAGATAAAATTCTCTCTCTAATAACACAAACTTCAGATTGCAATGGTGACTTATCGTTGTGAATACTGGGAAAGTGAATTTCTTTATTTGATACAGTTATGGTTTCAAACACAAACCTTAGGCACAGTTCTCTGATTCCAATGTGTTCGATATTCAGATTCATAGAAAAAACTCTCTATTTGTCCCAGAAACGAGGGTTTTAGATTAGATGCATAAGAACACACCATGTTTGTGATAATAATATAAATCAATCATGGTGGTGTGTCATGTAACCAAAGCTTCTCCCACGCCAACTGTTTTTTCGCTAAAAACTCTTGGATGCTATGGTTAAATTTCTTCCCTTCTATAAATCATTTTTTACTCTTGAGGAATTCACCTTTATAATTGTTATCTTGGAATATAGGGACTGTTCTGGCATTCTGATAACTATGCCATATCGTGACATGACTTGCTTCGCTTATTATCCATAGTTTATTTCTAATGTCATCCTCTCATTTTCAGGCAAAAATTGACTTAATCATTCAGCAAAAAGATGCAGAAATTCAGAAGCAGAATGCATGGCTGCAGTCAACACAAACTGAAATAAGAAGATTAAGCATTGATGTAGTCAATAAAGATGTTACAATATCACAATTGAAAGCAAAATCATTGATTCTGGACAAAGCACTTAGGTTAGTGTTTGCTTAGTAAACTCAATACACTTAGAAAGTATTACACTATTTTTAATCTCTGATTTGTAAATATTGGTATGGTAATTAAGATAAAGGAAATTTCAGGAATTGATAATTTGGTTTGGCGGGAATGTATGTTGATGCCCAATTTATGTCAATCTTACTTGTGGGGGGCTGCGGGAAGATCAGATTTTTTATTGGTAATTGATTGGTAACACATACAAGATAATTTATCTGTCATCTAATTATGACATACACAATGAGTATCAATTTTTATAACATGGGATCAAACCAAGAAATTCAAAATAAAGCGATTCAAAATTGGTTATATTCCACAATAAGAATTCTTGATTTATGTAATAATTCAGAACAGTTTTATTTGAAAGAATTTTATCTTGGGTAACCAATATCTCCATGTAAGACCAATGAGGAATTTGTTTAATTTATGGAAACTGTAGAGGGGGGGACAAGGAATAACATATGGTGTTTATTGTTCTTTCTAGCATATATGATTTATCATGATAGGATAGTAAACTTTTACCCTGACGAAATAGTATGATTAGCTGGAGAGTTTAGATCACAATTCACACATAAAAATTATTTTATTTGACCACTGTAATTCTTCACGAGTCTCAAAACACTACTTTTATTGTGATCTCTCTTATTTATCTTTTTTGTCCAGGTATAAAGGAGGATTAGAAGGACTTTTAAACTGCTTTGCAGAGCTAGAAAAATACAACACAGAAGCCTCTGGAAGCACAGTAAGTGTACCAACAATGCCAATATCGAATGTTCCCAAAATTGACTCAGTTTTGATCACGAAAATTGAGAGTGGAGATGGTGACAACAGCAGAGAGAGTTCATTATCAGAAGACAGTTTTTCAGAAACAGACGAAAAAAATATAATTTGGACTCCAAAATCTAGGACCCAACTTGATGATTTTCAGAATTTGAATGTTAATGGTAGGAAGTCCTATGTACCGCCTGCTAAAGTCCCCGGCGGAGCAGTCAAAAACGATGCTGATATGGAGACAGAAACCGAGCAAACGTTAAATATTGAAGGTGCATCAACATCCCAAAATTTTGATGAAACACAATTTATGCCATCTTATGAGACACAACTCTAACTTTTTTGTAAAAACCAAGAACGCTGTTTTATTTATTTCTATTGCCGTTTGAAGCATGATAATTTTTTTAAAGTAATGCCTTCCCTCTTGCTAGGATTTTATGTATGTGCAATCATGTTTGGTGTACCTAGATGTGAATTAGCACTAATATAGAGATGGACAGAGGCGTTTTTAAAAAGATCCACCTGACATTGTGTGCAGCAGTTGAAAGGCATTTGTGGTAATATTTATACATATATTTAATGAGAGTTTTTGTTGATGCATACCGGTACGGTAGTATTTCAAGTAGAGAGCAATAGCTTGCAAAGCTTTTCTTGTCTTCAGAAATGTTCTTATTCTTGGAATATTAAAGTGTTTTGGTGCTTTGTTTTCTGTTATCATGCAATAATAATTTTTGTGTCTGAAGCAACAGCTTATACTAATTTTTTATACTTCCAACCTGAATCTTGTAGGTTTCGCTGCTTTAAGACCTTCCAAGGTAAGGTTCCTCAGGACACCTGTCACTCAATTTAAGTAAGCTTTTTTGATATTTGCCTTTTCTGGTGATGCCTTTATATTGTGTTGACTAATATTTGTTGATTGATTGATAAGTGCGCTTTAAACAGTTATACCATTTCGTGATTAGTTCTCTATTTTTATGCCCGGTTATAAAAAAGTGCTTTATGTATATACATTCGATATGAAATTCCTATACCTGCAGTGATAAAATATACTAGAAAGCCTTATATTACTTTTGTCCATCATTTCGAGACCACACTTAAATACGCAGTGAACAACTGGCTGTGGATGACCTGAACCGGGGTGGAATTGCGTGGGCGAGTGTTTTTGCTTGAACAAATATCATCCTAGCAAGCTGGTTAATTTTAACAAGGTCAGGAATTCGACTTCAATAAATGAGTGTTGCATAAATCATGGAAGCTAAACAAATTTGCACGAAAGTTGCCGTCAAAAAAGTACCGCAAGTGGTAGATTTATTAAATAAAATATTTCGAATATTGAATTTACGCTGTTTTTCTTGGCTTTTCGAATTGTTGGACACGAAGTGGACCTATGGATTGTTTTGTTGTTGTAGGGATTCGTTTTGTGTGTTGTGACGTCAACAAAATTTGCGCACCATGTGGCGGTTCCGCGAACGCATATCAACAGATTTCGTGCTTAGGGAAAGTGGGGAGTTTCTTTCATAAGGAACGGCAGACTGCGGTACCTGATTTGGTAATACAGAAGTGACTCGGATCAGTTGGTATTTCAATTCCCGTTGAAACTGAATCATGAAGAATGGATCATTGTCGCAGGACCTGGAAGAGCTATGGTACCCCGGTCCTGGGTAGTCGAGTTGTCCACTTCTCGATACGGCTACTGGGAGTTACCACATGCGATTTTCGAGAAATTGATAATAAATATTTAGTTTTGCTTTTCGTGTCCACATGTTTGAGCATATAAAGGAAGGATTTACATATTAATCCCGGGGGAGATAAGAAGACGGCTTAATCATATGGCGAACCACGGCCTCTCTTCCGTTTAACGGTCCAGGTCGGGTATGGGATTAGTTAGTCAGTTATTTGTTTTCGGAAGCATGGACTTGATGGTAGAGGACGCCGTAACCGACCAGCGGTTACGTGAACCACCCTACGGTGGCGAGGAGTCTAGCAATCCTCTCGCACATGATCATCCCCGCATGGGATTCGAACTTGCGAACCCACGAAGGGTAACCAGGTATGCGGTGGCGAGCGTATTCCTAACGCTTAGCACGATGCGCCACACCGCCGAGCCGATCTCTCTTGTTTCTTCAGTTATTCGTCTTACCTTGCACCCGTTTTGCCAAGCCAATTCTTGGTCCGACTTACACCCTATAAAATTCATGCTAGGTCGTTCGTGATTGGAGCAATGCGTAATATGTTATATATTCCCACCAGTGAACACAAATTGTACCGCAAATTTCTTTTTTTCTAGTTTAATACTCTTAAGTTGTGTTGGAAAATGGCGATTCAATTTTGTCTTTGAATGGATAATAAAAATTTCATGAGCCGATAACTTTTTGTGGAAAAAATTACTCTGTCATGAAAACGTTCGGCTTGGATTCTTTGTTTGAGGCTACTGATGTAGTTCGTGATTCCATCGGCGAACTAGATTGTCTTCCGGATAAGTCGTCCCAATTTTCTGACAAAAGAAAATAAGCTGAAATATGAGGGAATTGTTATCGCAGAACCGTTTCGCTCCGTACTAGTCAGACATGGTCCTATACGTTTAAATTTTGCATGCCCAATTTCCACCATTATCAATATAAATGACGAGTATTACGCTACCATCAACTATTCTACCGAAGACCCGCATACAAAATTTCAGTTTATTTGGGTCCAGTATTTCCAGGAATTATATTTCGGCACCCGTAAACGCGCACTTCCTCGATGCCTCGGTCAATGGTTATCAGCTATTCAAGATTGTTCATTATGGTGTTATAGTTCTTTTCATATATATAAAAACAATAAAAGTCATTTTATAAAATGAAACTTCAAATGTGGGGCTAATGATCCAAAATAAAGAATTAGGTGAGGTCCGGATTCGGACCGCCAGTTCAGTAGCCCTGATCTATGTTATACTGTTAATTCTGCAGCGTTCTGCTTCAGGGATCCGGAATTGCTTTTCGAATAGCTAACATATCTTTTCGATTTAGTCTCTCACATAACTCACCTAGCGTAAGACTAACGACTTTGTCCAGAGCTACGTCTACTTCGTCTTCTGCTTCAGCATATGGCTTTTCCGCCGTAATATCTTCCGGGAATAATCCTAACGGACGAGAACTATTTAATTCTGAATAATTTTCAAATCGTACAGAGGGATTATAACGTCGTGAAGACGGCGACCTGTTCGGTGGAAATGTTGTGCTACTCAAAGTTTCTATCCCTCTTTCTAAACTTGATATCCTCGTTGCTTTGATATCCATGGAATTATGGTTCGAGATTCGCGTCGCATTTTCTGTGTAATGAAGGCGACCATCTGCAGTTTTAGGAACTTCGCCGAAGGCAAATATTGGATTTCGTTTTGGTTTTTGTTCTTTTTCAAGGTTTTCAGTTATTTCCGAACATAGAATAGGGAGAGGTGTTGACGTAAAATCACTGCTTTTAGCCCTAAAATTTGGTGTCTTGTAGAGTGTCAGAGCTGCGCATGCAACTCCTGTGCATCGCAACGGATACTTCGTTGGACGATTTTTTTGTGATTCGACCGAAATATTCTGGCAGTTGATATTGACTGAAACCTCACGTTTATTTATATATGTTTCCTTATATAGCTGAGCAGTGCTTGGATATTTTGAATTTCCAATAGGCAATGTGGTTAAATCGACACGCTCAACGTCGTTCATTCGATCTTTATCTTTCCAGCTATATCCAGCTATTAAATACGCTTGTTCGTTTAAAATGCAGGATCCAGCTTCAGTACGCGACAATTGGACATGAAATTTGTTCTGGTCGTCAATAAATCTAAAAAGTACAGTTATGAGCGATAAGGACGGCATAAATATAAATTCAATTACACGGCAGAGTCTCAAGATCAGGTTCGATGATTATCAGGATATTTCAGAAACGGATTCGCGCGAACCTCCTGAACCACATCACTGCATATCGTGTAACTCCAAGGGCCGGGGGCTGGAATATCACTGTAGAGACGAAACAACTCTAGATTAGCTTACTTCTGATAAGATGAACCTCTTTGGCATACTTGTCCAAAAGCCCCAAAAAAGTAATTTAAACTTTGATATATATATATCTAACTCACTCCGTTTCCTGACCAAAATCGATCAACTCAGTTTTTCGAAGTTGTTGGGGGAAGTTCCCAACTATAGTCCACTGATCCATCGCCGGTGAATAGACTTCTATCTAAAAATTCAAAGCAAATTTATTTTACCTTTGGTAGGAAAGAATCCAATATGCCTGAAAAGGAGTCTTTGAAAAAATTGTAACCCTATATCAAATATATCAGCTGTTGAATGTACGCCGTGCGAATACTACAATGAAAATGTTTACCTCTGAGGCTCCGATAACACCTTTCGCAGAATCCTTCTCGAGCACTGTAGCGCCGCCAAGAAGCCACAGTCGATTCTTGCTGACGTAAAGGGAGCCAGAGAAACGAGGTTTGCAAGTTGGATGGCGACGTTCCCACTGAGACGAAACTGGATTGAATCTAGACCATTTAAACGTCCACGAGTTGAATATAGATTTTTAATATTACTGTGTAGAATTTCAATTTCATTTGTTATTCCTGAGATGGCGAAGAGTGACCGAATTTAGTATCAAAAATGCCAATTCACATGTGAGCGTTCAACGGATAAATATTGTCACACACACAGCTTCTCGTATATTATCCAAATGATCAGTGGTAATCTTAGATTTGCGTTGGCGAACTTAATAACATCTCTATGCCATACGGCGCAGAATCTGTTAACGTTTTCTAATTCTAATTATTTCACATTAAACAAGAGAGCTATGCTCAAATATATGAACAGGTAGCGCCACATAGTGGCAAATTTTGATGGCGTCATAGCAAAAAAAAGTAATAGCCTTCGAGGGTTCCATTACATTTGAACCCACGTACATTTGAACCCATGACAATTGCACCTGTATGCTATTGCACCTATGGATTTTTTTTTGTTTCACGGATAGTTAAACCCATACTAACCCTAACCCATGGGTTTTAGCACCCGCATATAGATTGAACCCGTGGATATACGCATGGGTTCAAATGTACGTGGGTTCAAATGTACGGTCACCGCCTTCGAGCTAAAAATATAATCCTCACTCACTGAAAATTTCAAAGCAATTGGTCCAGTAATCAAAGAGAAAGCGACTTTTTCATCGCGTGTCAAAGAACAAGCATAAGAACAACTACACAATATTGAAACGATCGTTATGTCTATTGACGTGTCCAATATATAGTTTTACACACCTTTCTACTCTTCGCGATATCAAATCACTCCCTGATCCTCCGACCGCGTACAGTCGTCCACTGAGGGTCGCTATTGATACATATCTTCGGGGGCTGCTGATTGATTCTATTTCGCACCACTTATTAGTCGATGGGTTATATCTTTCTACATGAGACAAAGTTTCATCTTTGTGTGCTCGTCCACCTGTTCAAGGTCAATAAACGTTATATTTTTGTACAAAAAAGCTGATATTTAACCGTCATTTATATGCATTTTATACGGTCTATGTTTATCGTGAATGAACTTATTGTGTTTCTATGTTCATTTTGTTTGCCATTTTGTATGAAATTTTCAAATATTTGAAAAACAAAACTAAATATGCCTGAATTTTTAATCGTATCATTGAAAAATACTTCATTTATATGGTCTATTACTTTTTTAGATAAATAGAGAATAATTGGAAAAATATGACTTTTGAAAATAAGTTTTGTATTATATTGTAAAAATTACCAACTGCATACAATCGAGAATCAAGAACTCCTAATTGAAAGCTTTGACGTGCTTTTATCATGCTAGCTATTTGCAACCACTCTTCGGTCCACGGGTCGTATCTCCAAACCTGAACAAATACAGATTAGGCAAAGATGAGAACGCGGGATTGCGCCATGGTGCACTGTGTCAAATCAACGATTAGAGCTAGTTAGTTTTGGTACTGCCCCTGTGACCAGACGAAGCAAATGGTATAGTAGGCCATGTCAAAGTAAAAATAGTATTTGGTGATCCCGTATCTTCTTCTTACAACAAAATGTTGGTATGTTTGATCCGAGTAGTGCTATCTATAGAATATGAATTTGCTACCTTATTGGATGAGTTTGTTAAACCTTGCCCCGTGTCTCCTCCTGCGATGTAAAGAAATCCGCCAAGTACTGCAGCTATAAAAGATGTGTAAAATCGTATGGTATTTTCATGCTTTCCAGTGATAGGTAATCTGAGCTTTGGTTATATTTAAAAACGGTTGTTGTTGTTGTGTTTGAAAGTTACGGCCTTGTTATATTCATAAAGCCGCGTAAAATCATATTTTTCATTTTTTTCATGTACGATGAATGATGTTCAAAACTTGTTTTGATTTGCCGTGACTCAATCTATTGAGAATTATTTTTCATATTTGTATTTTTTATTTTCTTTCGATATATATATAAATATATATATATATATATATAGTTGCTTATTTCAATATTAGATTGCTAGTATGAATGTCGCTAACCTGCGTGGTGATGTCGAGCTTCTGGCATAATCGTCAATGGGCGCCAAATATTTTCATCTGGAACTAAATAATACACGCGTGTTGTAGATGGTCCCTCTTCTCGGTTGGGCAATCCACCACTGGCCACGATGCCTTCTACCTAAACATCAAAAATTCGCGCCATTGTGTTTCTCTTGTCGAGTGCCGATAGAATCATACTATGAATCATAAATCAAGGCCTTTAATTTCTAACCAACATACCGAAAAAGTAGTTCTTGGTTTAGTCCGTGGGGTTTGTAATATACTTCTCCTATAAGGCAAAAGATGATAACGAACAGCTTCTCTTACAAGTTCTCCAACTTCGGCGTTTTCGTTAACGTAACTTGATCCTTCTACCTGATCCACTAATTGACTTTCTGTCATCAGCGGAAATCTTACATGCCTCATAAGCCGAGCAAAGTAAGGTAGTCTGGTTGACCTGCAAATAAATTGAATATTTCGAAGCGTTTGATAGAATGATCAATACAATCAGCAATAATTAAATGTCCTAACCTTTCGTAATCGGTCCATCGTATGATTGCGTTAAAAATCTGGATTTCTGAATCCAAAGCAAGGTCTTGTCTTGGCAACATTTCAAGCAACTCATAATATCGTAACTTCATAAAATCGGCATGATTGCATACCGTTTTGAAGTTCAAGCAGGCGATTTGATATGAACGTTCTTTCAGTGCCTCCAAATTATACATGTGAGCTACCTATGAGGATTGTACGTTTGTGAGTGGACAATTTATCCAGAATATTTAGGTCATAACATTGCAGTTCTTACTTGAATTGTTTTGATGCAATTATCAACACTGAGATGTTGTGAAAGATACGATTGACAGGCATCGACTATCGACGGCATTCTAAGATAAGCAGCTGCTGATAGGACATCTCCAACTGTAGCCGAATTCAAAATTATTTTTGCCCTGTAAGGTACTGATACAGCTTTAATATAGAAGGATTAATCACAATGACACCAAATTTCAAATGGACCTTTTTGAAAGGTTCAGTACCAAATATTTCGATAGTTGGAAGTTATCTCATCTACTTGCAATACATTACACTGTGCCTGACTTCGACGACACTTTCAAACCAGAGGTCTATGATGTAAAACTTGGTCATATGGCAATCATTGCATGTGGAAGTATCGTACTGTAATACATTTCAGTCACTATTTACGATAAACAGTTTCGACGAATTTAGGTCTAGTATACATGATGAACTGTACCGCGTTATCAGCGTTTGGTTATCCTAATTTTTTCAACCCAAAATGATCATACGAATGAACGCAGCTGTACACAAGCATAGATCTTATAATAGCTACACTTCCGTACTACACTTTCTTACTTACGTATAAACAGCGTCGATAATCTTTTTCACAATTTCACTTTTGATACCAAGGAGGGGTATTCGAGAAGTGTCCATCACCGTTGAAGCTTTTTCGCGACTGACAAAAAGATCACGGAAGTGCTCACTACATGCAGCAAGTGCAATCTAGATTTAAAAGTGCATTGCAATTAAACAACTCTTTCGGACATCTTTTTATGGGCATAATGAGAATGAAATTTGATAAATATCAAGATGCGAGAAGTGTGGTGTTTTTTAGTAGTGTAGCATTTATTTTTCAACGCTGAAAAGTCACACCTGAGATGATGTGCATTAGATTAGGCACACATATCAAAAATGCTCTCAGGATTGAGACACTTTGACACGATCACTTGTGTTTTGTGAAAACATGAATGGAGAAGAGACCCTACTCAATGTAAACATAGTCTGTGGATAGAGAATCTATATATATATGGTATTTTTGGACTGAACCAAGAACTACTTTTTCGGTATGTTGGTTAGAAATTAAAGGCCTTGATTTATGATTCATAGTATGATTCTATCAGCATCCGACAAGAGAAACACAATGGCGCGAATTTTCGATGTTTAGGTAGAAGCCATCGTGGCCAGTGGTGGATTGCCCAATCGAGAAGAGGAGCCATCTACAAAACTAATTAATCGTAATGAAATGAAACTTTTAATTGGCTCATATGATAAACTACATCATTTCTTGCCCATTATTAGGTCAATGCTCATGAATTGCTTATATATTTTTTTCAATTTCATATGATCAAACTTGATAGTATTTTATGCTTACCTTATGTGCTCGGAAAATCGTTTTGTCAACTGAGAGCATGACATCGCACATTTTTCCTTGTTTCCATAGATCTCTTATTGCGGAAAAGAATTTAGTCTCATGAGTCTTCATTTCGAATGTTTGTTCATCACTGTCAAATTTTTCTATTTCTTTATTATGAGAAACTTTTTCCTGGTTGCAAGTTGTGACGTACGAACCAACTGGCGGTAAATTGGTATTCGGTGAAATCAAGTCAGACTCAATTTCGTCCTGTCGCTTGAAAGCGTCTATGTTATACGGATTCTGCATTCTAAACTTGTTCCTTCCCTTTGTAAACTGTGTTGCTTTCAACTTTGACATCCTATTCCCTGCAAACCTACCTAGTTGGCGGGACGTCTAACCGCTTACAATAGCTAGTCTAGAGGCTTTCTATTTCCGATTTACACAGTCAAATTCGTTTTATGGAAACTAGAAAGTTTATTTTACCATTGTTACGTCATAAAATTTAAAATATTGTAATCGTAATGTGTCTGGCATTGGGCAAAAAAGCTAAATACATTACGGATTAAAAGTAGTAGTCAAGCACACGTTTAATAAGTAGAACAAAAACAAGAGACAGGAAAGATTGACAAGTAACTGCTTGGTATAGCATAGAACGAAATTTACCGGAACTGACAAAATACTTAATTTGGGCATTTGATAGTCAGATCTCTTTTGCCCTGGCATTTGCACTTTGTATCTTCCAGGCTAGGCAGTCATTGTGAAATAAATGGAATTTATGGCGTGTATCCGTATTCAAACCATGATTAGATATATTAAATAGTGATGTACTGTATTTCCCTGTCAAACAGAATTTCAATATCATAATTTGCAATCACATATACAATTGAAATTGTTGGAGTGTGGTGGCAATGTGACATGATTAGATCGACGACAAGAAAATTATCGCGACAATAAAAAACAAACCAATAATACCATATTTTAATCATTAAGTAGATATAGATAACTCCATGCACTCATGATTCCTCCTTGATAAGAAGGCTTGTCCATGGGACATATTTTTCTGTCCCATCCCATAGCAATTTATGCCTGTCCCATCCCATCCCATGGGACGTTTCCAATGGCCAAGTCTGGGGCAAATAAATAATAGATACAAGTATATAAAGAAAAGACCAATGACCAATGTTAGCTCTGACGTAATCAAGTTCCTGTGAAATGGCTACTGTCTCATGGGAAATACAAATGTGTCCGGCCCCAACCCACCCCATGGAAGTCCAATTCCCATGGGCAAGCCTGCCGATAAGTGATCGAATAATCCGACTAACCAATTTATACGTAGTTATATCCTTATATTATAGTCTTCTTTTTTCATACAATTCATTGTTTCTCGTTAATTTAGTCAAATGCCAATGTTAGAAAAAAAAATTACACAAATGTCAGTAACAGTTGTTAAACGAACTTATTTACCAAAAACACGAGATTTTTAAATGAATTCTACCAATTTATGGTTGTTGTCGTCGTTTTGTTATCTTTAAAGCGAGGGAAGTAATTTTCCACCTTAGGCGTTTCCACGCGTGGTTTGGCAAACTTAAAATTAATAAACAGTTATTCCATTGTGAATATAAATATCGGGAGTGAACATTTGGATTGCACCGATATCGAGCATAGTGGTGAGGTCGATGATCTATCAAAAATTTGTCCACGATGATAGATCATGTAATGTTTAGAATAGCAGTAAAACAGCCAAGTTCAAATATGAAATTGTAAACTATCACTTGTGCATAAAGCGTATGCTTCCCTCGCTAATTTGTTAAAACATTCAGAACAGCATTTAATTTTCATGTGTCTGGTATAAAAGTCGGATCTTGTTCGACTAGTTTCTTGTTTCCACAAAGACGCACTGGGTACAGACAAGTTGAATATATTGAAGGGTTGGTTCGTGTCGTTTGTATTACAATAGTCTTCCAACTTTTAATCGGCGATTCACCCTCGATTTGGGGTTGTTACCAGAAGGTCAATTTTTTAGTTTTATCAAACCGAATATTTTATTGCTGATATAGGTCCAAAAAATCTAGAATGCCACTCTGTCTTCAAATTTTACGCAGATTTTTTTATTGAACCTAGACGAATAAATACTTTATATGTTAGGCTGTGTATAAAATGAAAATACTACAGATTAACAAACTGTTCTGTATGATCCAAACATTGGCAGCTAGTCATTAAATATTGTAATCAAGATGTTATCAGCAGTTACTTTTACTAGGCAATGGGTTATTAGCTGGAGTTACAACCGTTGCCACATCGGTTTTTGCTTTCTCACTGGTATTCTTGGTGGAGGCAAGTACATGCCACGGTGCCGTGACGAAGTGTCAATGATCTCTAAATTTTGTTCTTGAAATTTATTTATTACAGTTGATCTTCGACGACGTGGTTTTGCCCTGAATCCACTGCCGTTACTGCTTAATGTTATTGGTGGTCCTAATGGAGATAGTTTGGGATTCATATTAGAAGGCGGTCGACGCCACGCTTCGTTTTGATCGAGTTCTTTTGAGTAAAGATCGCCTTGCTCTGGCCACAATTTATGAGACTGTAAACACAATGAACAAAAACTGAAAATTGTTTTCTTAATCTACAATTTTTGAGGCAACAATAACAACCGCATCATCGTATAATAAATACATTTGTAAGTTGACGTATGATAAATGGATAAAATTTACATCTAAAATCGAAGTTAACAGAAAAAGAGCAAGTTGCTAATAACATTCCACCTTGCCTTTTTTATAAAGTTTTTGAATGGTAAAACTGTTTGAAAATTGTTGTACTTGCCTGTCTTGTTGGTAAGCGATTGAGCTTTCTTTTCAGGGCTTCTTCCCCTAAAGTTGGAGATGTTGTTCGTTTGTACATGGCTGGCTTCCCACAATATCTAACTTTTGATTTCCATCTTATAACACGATCAAAATTATCTTCAATTTCTCCCCCAATTTCAAGCAATTCTCTGCTGGAATTTGTGGTCGCATCAAGGACACCGGTGGAATGATGCGCACGCGGTTTGTAAACGTACTTGGAATCTCCTTGTCGTAGTCGTGTTCCTCTCTGAAAGTGGTAAGACATATCCGGAGAGTATTTCCAGTTTCTAGGAGAATTCTCATCTTTAGTTTTGTTTTGACCAGGCAAAATAGGGTTTAATTCAAATTTTGGAGAATGATCATCCAGGTCTAAATTGGTATGAAAGTTCAAATCAATGTCTCGTCTTTTCCTTGTTTGCTTTATTGGAGGCAAAATTGGTCGAACTAACATTGAACTTATAACGTCCTTTGAACGAGGATCTTCGCCTATTCCAAGATAACGTATCATGTATTTCGCCGACAACCTTGACATTGCTGTGTTGTCAAATTTCCCGCCCCGTAATAAATCATCCCTGCAAAGGTAAGACATGAGAGCTGAATTTTAATATTTATCCAGACTGCAAAAACATATTTTAATTGCGCTTTTATGCCTATATTTGTTTAAACAAGATCTTTACTATTGTCATTAGATTTTAAAATAATTTATTAGTGATATGTGACATAGCTACAGTCGTTTTGAGCTACACCCGAAATAGCAAAAAGTTTCCGATTTGGTTCGAGTGTTCCAATTTAAGGCTGAAGTGATATTGCAAATGATATCATTTCTATAAAACATAAGAATATCGTACCAACAAAAAAATATTTGTTTTCGATATATAAACGTACATGTTGTGCAAGACTTTCATCGAGGGCCGGTTTAAGACGAGGCTGATAGGGCTGCAGCTCCAGGACCACCATGGAAAATAGGCCTACCGATGACATCTTTCTAAGAGACAATTATTCATCCCAAACTCTCCCATATTATATAACTAAATTGACATAGATTCATTTCGGTGTTTGATTTAGTAAATGTCCCATCTTTATTAGATCATAATGTCGTTGTTTGTTAGATCATAATGTTTATCTTTTTCGTATAATTACCGGGGACAGAGCATTGGACAGATCGGAACTATATGCATCGTGAAAAGCATCAGGAATCTGCCGATCTTTCTTTGTCCGTGGACAGGTAAACAATTCAAATTTAAGGAGGAGTTATGTTTTGCTACTGTGTAAGGAAGATTTATCGTCTTTAAGCAATGAATTTGATACTCACAGAAATGTTTTGTTGAGAACAACAGCTCCATCTCTAAAATATGGGTTGTCCAAAAAATCCACGACTGATGCAACGGGTGGTAAAAACGCGTGTTCATTAGGCCTTAAAACGAAAATTACAGACCAATATTAGTGAAACTAAAAGGAATCATGAAGTATTCAGCTATCCAAGCGATCACTAGAAGGAGAACGAAACGGCAATCTCAGAAAAGTATCCAGTGATAACGGAAATCGCAGGAGATATAATGGGAAAGTAACCAGATTTATGGTCCTACCGCCGTTCCACTACAAAATCACATAATGTGTGGGAAAATGACATAATTGTCATATTATGATATTACTTATATAGAGCAGTCCCAATTATTTTATTCAGTCCAAAGTTATAAATATCACAAGGAGATAGTATCGAATCTGAAGTTACTTCATACCTAAGAGGTTGCGCAATCCATTGTGCATCTGTTCCAATGGCTTTGTCTTTCTGTTCAAGAATATTTTGCGGGCTGTTATTTTGACATTGAGTTTCAAAACCCTCGTTACGTAGCTGTTTCATGTGCTCAACCCGAGCATGTTTGCGGGGAGGCATTGAGTCCATACGTGACAACGTAGGATTTCCCTCTTCGCCACCTAGGGTAGTAACCGACATATTAGCGCTCGGTTGTTCACTCTGCAAAGATGCTCGTTTCGATTTTCCTTTTTCATCTTTTGGTTCGGAACTACTAGGGTTCGAATCTTTTGATTCCTTTGTGGTTTTGGGGAATGATTTACTTATTTCAGGACTAGTATTTTGTTCCTCGTTCTGTGTAGGCGATTGTTGTTTTTCTACAGAGTTTCTCTTCAATTTGTTGCTTCCCGATATCGGGCTTCGATCTCGGCTTTTGTTATTTTTCTCTTTCTTTGGTTGCCTGGCAAATTGATCATAATCTCCTTGTACGGAAATTTTTGTACTTGGGTTTGCAATGGATTTTATTATGGGGGGTGTAGAAGCGGACACATCATTCTGCAGAAAGTTCTTCTGGTCCGATTCAGCGGCTGACATATTGTAATATAGAATATTGTCTTGCTTGATTTATTGCATTAAAACATGATATAATTCAGACTAATGCCAACAAATCATATGAGTTTAAAACGAGATGATGCAGTTCTTGAAACAGCATATAAATGGAGGTTAACATTTTCTACGTGTGTTTACACATGAAATCAGAGCAAGGCTGTGTCGAAACACACACATATATATTATTATGAATGATTTGGTATAAAAATATGTGCTTAGATTTCCACTAATTTACGTTAATTCGCCAAACTAATGCTGTAAATTGTGCGTACTTAATGAAGGTTTTTGCTCGACAATTGTTTGTTACTACTAAAATAAGTCTTCCCTGCAGTATTCTGTGGTATCCGTCCTTGTTTGTTGCGCCAAACAGCTAAATCTCAGCGTGTCGTTATAACTAGTCCGTCAAATACTTAGCCGTTTCTCACAATTGTTTTCTTTGCTATGACGTAAATTGTAACTGACTTTGACGATTTAGCATAACAAAGTATAATGAAATCTGTGCTTATTCCCATTTGTGTATTCACCTGATTTCGGTTAACTAAAGTAATTCCTTCGACCGTAACGAAGTACGCTATACGAATGATGTGACTAATCGTAGGGCAAGGCTGACATTTCTAGACAATAGATTCCATCATCAGCAGATTGTTTGGATATATAGGCCAGGGCTACTCAACTATTTTTACCGAAGGTCAGCATACAAAACTTTAAACATATTTGGGTCCGGACTTCCCAGAAATTATATTTCTGCATCCTTAATTCCTCGGCCGACTAATGATAAGATTGTCAAGATCGTTTGGTATGGCGTTATTGTCCTTTTCCTATATATTTTTAAATCTATAAAAGTGATTTTATAAAAAGAAATTTCAAAAGTGGGGCTAATGATCCAAACTAAAGAATTATACGCGGTCCGAATGGAATATCCGAAAGATCCGGATTCGGACCGCGGTCCGCCAGTTGAGTAGCCCTGATATAGGCTACATGGTCATTAGCAACAAGACTTGAAGTTGATTTTGAGGAAGCCTATCAAATTGACTCTCGAAAATGTTCTCACCTAAAATATCGAATTGCAAGGTGAACCGTATATACTCTTAGCTAATTCTTGCTTCAAAAAACTTAAACTTTGTAGTATGTACATACCATAAGAGGTTACCGACATAAGTTGAAAACGTTTGCATATTTACTCGACTAGGACCACGTATTTTAATCATAGTGTCCCTGACAAGTTGCCCGCTTCTTAATCTCATGATCAACTTCTTATTTTAAACGTCATGTTCCCGGCACCTGCGTTGTATTCATTGACAAACGAAAATTGTTACCCTTCCTCCTCGAAGTACGTACTTTAACTACATAGACTTTAGCCAAGCCTGATCAAATCAAAAGTCGGCAGCCATCGTTCCCGATTTACATTCAGTCTCTTATGATTGATATTTAAATACTTCTACCCACTTGGCGCATTGTCCTCAAAATTTACTCAATCGACTCCTCTTTCAAAGCATATTGATGTATAAACAGTTTAATACTTGACGGGGGAAACAAAGAGTTATATTTTTCTTATCTAGTCTTGTTTACAATGCACCAAGTGGGAGAAGATGGTCGTGCGCAAACAGCGAATAAATAAAACTCACACGCGCATGTCATCAACCTCCAATTGTAAACCTGTCGGCCAGGATACTTCAAAAGTGTCACGTTAGCGAGTGTTAACAGGTATACAGTATAGTTACTTGCAATATAATATTTAATTGGGCTTTAGGCCATGACACCCACCCAAGCGGCATGATCGGTATAAGAAAATGACATCTGCACTATTATTAGTTCTATGCGGTATTTATTTTATTATTATTTTAGACTGCGTGACTACTCCTTGATGAATAACTAAATACACCAAGAGGCACTCGAGTTACGACACTATGTAAGTGCCAAAGTCATCAACTATATTTTCGAGGTTTCGAAAAGAAAGCAACATTCATTCCATTGCCAAGATACTGAACAAATTGTGAGACTATTTTCTTCACTGGTGCACTAGACATTGTTGACACTTGTTAAAAAAAAATAAAAGAAAACGTATACCGGCCGTATGCTTGACTGAATACTAACTTGTACTATTTACAAGACAAGGCAGGAAACTTACTGTCTTTGCTGACAATGGATGAACAGAATACATTGTGGAGTTACGATATTTGTTGTTTTTCTCTGAGTCTTTTGTTATTATTTCGACGCGACCTGATCTGGGACGTCCTACTTCGTCAGATCCGATTACTTGACACGCGATTACATGAATTTTTCTTGTTTTGTCCACCCTGAGATCCTATTCAATGTATACATCTGAAAGTTTTGCGAGGCGGCGTTAATTGAATTTGGACTCTTTTCAAGTTATTAATAAATAGTAAACATAGACAATGCTGAGCGGATTTGATACATTTTGTTAAATGCCAAGAGGTTTCTTTGTTAATGAATAGCGGGTATCGTCCGCTATTTATTCAATCCGTACACACCATTTGACATAAACTGCCATCTAAACGCTATATTATCTTAGTCGTCAAAATATAAAATACGTGGGATCTTTTGTACAAAACCCCCGACACGCCAAAAAACGCCACGTTTTAAAATAACAAATTTGTATTTATCAAATTAGGGTTTGGGTTAGGAATGGTTTGAAAATTTTAATTTTCAGCGCAATCGGCATTCCCAGCCTGATCACCCTAAAACTAACTGAATAATTACTTTTTTATTTTATTTTGCGCGGTGGCGGGTGCTTCGTACAAAGACCCAATACATATACCTAAATTTTAAAATTGCCATTTATTTTGCTTTATTGAGCTTAGCTTTGAACCTGAGAATACTTGTTGTTTCAAGTACTGTCCGCTGCTTGGTTATATTCGCCAAAGTGCTTCTGTCGGTGTAACGGGAAGCAATATCGTCAAGATCAGAGGAAAATCTCAAGATCCTCTCACGCCCAAGAAAGGCACAATGTATCAGAGGTTCCCAATCTGACATTGTATGTTTTATACAAAATTGATTTTCTTTGAAGAGATTTAATCGACTGAGATGGCATTTGAATTACGGCACAATCAACAATTACACCGAGAATTGGCACGATTTATATCGGCTTTCTAATAATTAGCTCCCAAAACTTATACTACCACGGCATATTTACAATTGTACATATCTACGGTCATATTCTGATTGCAAGTAACGCATTGACTGAGCACCGAGTTTGCCGAAAAGATCGACAAACTAAGAATTGTTCCGAATTGTTATATGAAGGTGTGCCCGTGAATAATGAAATAACAAGCAATAGCCTTCTACCGACGTTTTCCATCTTCATGTACTCAATTTTATATCTATCTGTCCATTTGTTACAGAAAAAGGCAATATTTCTCACAGTCTCAAAAATAAAAACAAGCACAACAATTTAGCGAAAAATTTAGTGTCAATTTCGAGTCCATTAAAAGATAACGTAGACGCGGGAAATTTATAAAGCGCTCACATATTGCCAATTGTTATTGCCGTGATGTACGTCTCTATGGCTCTATCATCAATCTTTTGGCCTTGACTTTTATTGTATCTCAAATACCCATCTGGGAATGTGTTAATATGCTAAATGCTTGTTGCTTGATGTAACTGAGTCTTGTGTACATTAAGCTATGTTATGGGTTTTGTCCGCTTTCCTACTATTTTTTTTATTTAGTCTAGTGTTTGGAGTTGTGCTTTATGATATTCTGTTGAAATGATTATAATATGTGTTTTCAGACTTCTAAGGAACTTATTTTCTGAACACCAGTTGGCACTACAACACTCTTTTCACATGAAATTTAGAAACAGTGTTCCAAACAAAAATACGTATAGGTTACGTAGTGAGAATGTTTATAGTCTAGGCCAGCGGTTTTTGACCTAGAATGTACGAACCCCAAACGAGTGCGTGATGGTGGTTTCGTGGGTCTAAAGAATGGAATATGATCAAGATCATCTACTAAATGTTTATATGGCCATCAGCCATTTTCAGACTAAACATTTCAACATTGTAAATAACAGTCCCGTTCTAACCTAGCACAGACTAAATCTCACTGAGCTTTTTCATTGATGGTTGACAATGCAATACAGCGCTAGGGTTTTCTTGAGCGTTGTGCTGATTTTGGAATCTGAATATTTTTTTTATATATATTTAATTTAAATGCGATATAATTTTGTTTCCCTTTACTCCATATTACTTCACTCCACTTCAATATTTGCCTTACCAATTTTCGCAAAATAATCGATAGCCTTTGACTCATATTCGACATTATCACATCAATAAATTTATCTCTGAGTTCGAATCCGAATTGACATAAAAGTCGGTTCCGAATCTGTTTCGGAATTTTGGTCCGGGCTTCGAAATGACAAATGGATTCACAATCAAGAATTCTGACATTCTTACGTCGTCCTCACAGTTCTATCTGAAGCTGTAGCTTTGTACATTTGGACTGATGGTAAGTAATATTAAAATAATAATACTTTAAAACAGTGGTTCTCAAACTTTTTGAGCCGCGCCCCCCCTTTAAAAATTTTTACAAAGTTCGCGCTCCCCCTATTTTTGCTTTGAAAAAATGTTTTTGTGATAGGCAGGTTGCTATATATTAAGATGGCGCTATAACTGAGTGTTGGTCTCATAGCGTCATTGCTCAGATTGTTTAGGCATAAAACGCTTCGGAGTACAACTTCGCCATTCACTGTCGTATGTATAAAGCCAAATAGTGGTTGGTCGTCATACATTCTCGTTTTTCCGCTCAGTTTGCAATACTTGGCAAAGTCGAACTAATTATTAAGTAAAACTAAACAAGCAATAAACCTATGCTTTAATGTATTTTCTGTTTAAACGTTTACATCATGCACGTAAATTTTTTTTTTTTTTTTTTTTTCTCTTTTGCGGATCAGAAATTTTTTCAAACTCGGATCAGTGTCTTAGAGACACGTCATATCCGAGGCATAAAGGTATATCGCCTCGTAAGCATATTACTGCATGCAGTATTCATCTACTTCTGGAGGCTTCGGTATGTGCCATGCACCAAAAGAGCACAGACATTCGCCCCGGGGTTTTTGTATATGCTATGTGTAGCACAGCATAACTTTCACCCAAGGCTTCCGCCTATGCCATACGGGGCACAGCACAACTTCCGCCACCCGGCTTCCGTACATACCGCGTACAGGACGCAGCATGACTTCCACCGCGAGGCTCCCGATTCATCACATC